ACTCCATCACATCGATCACACTCCATCACATCGATCACACTCCATCACATCGATCACACTCCATCACATCCATCACACTCCATCACATCCATCACACTCCATCACATCCATCACACTCCATCACATCCATTACACTCCATCACACTCCATCACATCCATCACATCGATCACACTCCATCACATCCATTACACTCCATCACACTCCATCACATCCATCACACTCCATCACATCCATCACACTCCATCACACTCCATCACATCCATTACACTCCATCACACTCCATCACATCCATTACACTCCATCACATCCATTACACTCCATCACACTCCATCACATCCATCACATCCATCACATCGATCACACTCCATCACATCCATTACACTCCATCACACTCCATCACATCGATCACACTCCATCACATCCATTACACTCCATCACATCCATCACACTCCATCACATCCATCACATCGATCACACTCCATCACATCCATTACACTCCATCACACTCCATCACATCGATCACACTCCATCACATCCATTACACTCCATCACATCCATCACATCGATCACACTCCATCACATCCATCACACTCCATCACACTCCATCACACTCCATCACACTCAATCACACTCCATCACACTCCATCACACTCCATCACACTCCATCACACTCCATCACATCCATCACACTCCATCACATCCATCACACTCCATCACACTCCATCACACTCCATCACACTCCATCACACTCCATCACATCGATCACACTCCATCACATCCATCACACTCCATCACACTCCATCACACTCCATCACACTCCATCACATCGATCACACTCCATCACATCCATCACACTCCATCACATCCATCACACTCCATCACATCCATCACACTCCATCACACTCCATCACACTCCATCACACTCCATCACATCGATCACACTCCATCACATCGATCACACTCCATCACATCGATCACACTCCATCACATCCATCACACTCCATCACATCCATTACACTCCATCACACTCCATCACACTCCATCACACTCCATCACACTCCATCACATCCATCACACTCCATCACATCGATCACATCCATCACACTCCATCACATCCATCACATCCATCACACTCCATCACATCGATCACACTCCATCACACTCCATCACATCGATCACACTCCATCACATCGATCACACTCCATCACATCCATCACATCCATCACACTCCATCACACTCCATCACACTCCATCACATCGATCACACTCCATCACACTCCATCACATCGATCACACTCCATCACATCCATCACACTCCATCACATCGATCACACTCCATCACATCCATCACACTCCATCACATCCATCACACTCCATCACATCCATCACACTCCATCACATCCATCACACTCCATCACATCGATCACACTCCATCACACTCCATCACATCGATCACACTCCATCACATCGATCACACTCCATCACATCCATCACATCCATCACACTCCATCACACTCCATCACACTCCATCACATCGATCACACTCCATCACACTCCATCACATCGATCACACTCCATCACATCCATCACACTCCATCACATCCATCACACTCCATCACATCCATCACACTCCATCACATCCATTACACTCCATCACACTCCATCACACTCCATCACACTCCATCACACTCCATCACACTCCATCACACTCCATCACATCCATCACACTCCATCACACTCCATCACATCCATCACACTCCATCACATCCATCACACTCCATCACACTCAATCACACTCCATCACACTCCATCACATCCATCACACTCCATCACATCCATCACACTCCATCACACTCCATCACACTCCATCACACTCCATCACATCCATCACACTCCATCACATCGATCACATCCATCACACTCCATCACACTCCATCACACTCCATCACACTCCATCACATCCATCACACTCCATCACACTCAATCACACTCCATCACACTCCATCACATCCATCACACTCCATCACATCCATCACACTCCATCACACTCCATCACACTCCATCACACTCCATCACATCCATCACACTCCATCACATCGATCACATCCATCACACTCCATCACACTCCATCACACTCCATCACACTCCATCATATCCATCACACTCCATCACACTCCATCACATCCATCACACTCCATCACATCCATCACACTCCATCACACTCCATCACATCCATCATACTCCATCACACTCCATCACATCCATCACACTCCATCACACTCCATCACATCCATCACACTCCATCACACTCCATCACACTCCATCACACTCAATCACACTCAATCACACTCCATCACACTCCATCACACTCCATCACACTCCATCACACTCAATCCCACTCCATCACACTCAATCACACTCCATCGCACTCCATCACACTCCATCACATCCATCACACTCCATCACATCCATCACACTCCATCACACTCCATCACACTCCATCACACTCAATCACACTCCATCACACTCAATCACACTCAATCACACTCCATCACACTCAATCACACTCCATCACACTCCATCACACTCAATCACACTCCATCACACTCCATCACACTCCATCACATCGATCACACTCCATCACACTCCATCACACTCCATCACATCGATCACACTCCATCACACTCCATCACACTCCATCACACTCCATCACATCCATCACATCAATCACACTCCATCACACTCCATCACACTCCATCACATCCATCACACTCCATCACATCGATCACACTCGATCACACTCCATCACATCGATCACACTCCATCGCACTCCATCACACTCCATCACATCTATCACACTCGATCACACTCGATCACATCGATCACACTCCATCACACTCCATCACACTCCATCACACTCCATCACACTCCATCACATCAATCACACTCCATCACACTCCATCACATCAATCACACTCTATCACATCAATCACACTCCATCACACTCCATCACATCAATCACACTCCATCACATCAATCACACTCCATCACACTCCATCACATCAATCACACTCCATCACATCAATCACACTCCATCACATCCATCACACTCCATCACACTCCATCACATCAATCACACTCCATCACATCAATCACACTCCATCACATCAATCACACTCCATCACACTCCATCACACTCCATCACATCAATCACACTCCATCACATCAATCACACTCCATCACATCAATCACACTCCATCACATCAATCACACTCCATCACATCCATCACACTCCATCACACTCCATCACACTCCATCACATCAATCACACTCCATCACATCAATCACACTCCATCACATCCATCACACTCCATCACACTCCATCACACTCCATCACACTCCATCACATCAATCACACTCCATCACACTCCATCACACTCCATCACATCGATCACACTCCATCACACTCCATCACATCGATCACACTCCATCACACTCAATTACACTCCATCACACTCCATCACATCGATCACACTCCATCACAGTCCATCACACTCCATCACACTCCATCACATCAATCACAGTCCATCACACTCCATCACATCGATCACACTCCATCACATCGATCACACTCCATCACACTCCATCACACTCCATCACACTCCATCACATCGATCACACTCCATCACACTCCATCACATCGATCACACTCAATCACATCAATCACACTCCATCACACTCCATCACACTCCATCACATCGATCACACTCCATCACACTCCATCACATCGATCACACTCCATCACATCGATCACACTCCATCACACTCCATCACACTCCATCACACTCCATCACATCGATCACACTCCATCACACTCCATCACACTCCATCACACTCCATCACAGTCCATCACACTCCATCACACTCCATCACACTCCATCACATCGATCACACTCCATCACATCGATCACACTCCATCACACTCCATCACACTCCATCACACTCCATCACAGTCCTTCACACTCCATCACACTCCATCACATCGATCACACTCCATCACATCAATCACACTCCATCACATCAATCACACTCCATCACACTCCATCACACTCCATCACACTCTACACACTCTGCACTTTTTTGAGCTTCAATCTGTTGGTTGCAATTCAATGCCATTATAAAGCTCGGAAGCGTCAGGGTGTTATTAATATAATTCTGATTGTGTTCGTCTGAAAGAAAAATGTCATATACAGCTAGCATGACTTGAGGGAGAGTAAATCATGGGCTAATCTTTATTTTTAGGTGAACTATCCCTTTAAAGGACATCCTTATATTCATGCACTGGTGTTTTTCCTCCAGGTTGGGAAGGGTTATTCCAGCCGGTTCTGATCGGTCTGCACATTCAGTACAGGACTCCCATCCTGCGTCTGCAGAACTTAGTGAACCGCCGTCTGCAGAGGAAACTGCACAAGACAGTCGCGCTCCGGATGGCTAGTCATTCCTCAGAGCTGCTGAACCTTCACCGGTTTCGCCAGGACTCACATCTAGCTTATTTAGCTAACAGAATTTCCCACACAGTCCGCAGTTTCCGGCAGCACTGCAGCAACACGACAGCAGCGGCAGTGTGAGACGCCAAGCCTCTGCCGCTCTGCTCTCAGTCTGATGTCTTTCACCTGCTTTCTAAAATGTATAAGGGAGATTTTGTCCAAATCATCTATGAGCACTATATGTGAGAGACTCACTTACATTAAAGATTTGGTTTCAGCTGTTACACTAAAGGACGCTGGATGTGTGATGTGTATTTGAGAACTTCAGAATGTGTCCGGTCAATAAATTTCAAATGCAAGTTTTTAAATGAGACTCCACTGTTCTGTAAATATTAGATGTTTTTTTGTTTGTTTTTTTGGTTATACATTTAAACATTGATCTCTATTTATTATTTAATTTTTTTAACTAAACTGTATAATGCAAAACAGCTCCATTAAAAACAGTGAAAAGAGTTTCTTGTGGTTGTGAAATATATTAAATATTCCAGTGTTTTCTTTGAATTACTGCACTCATATGAACCTGAAATCAGTCTATGTCATAAGACTATATATATATATATTAGTGCTGGGCAACGCTTAAATTTTTTAATCACGATTAATCGCATGATTTTCTTGCGATTAATCGCGATTAATCGCATTGTTACGCACAAAATTGAATAATGAATTCTAAAGTAGTGTATTGCGCACTTTTGATTTAAATGTACTGCTACAAAAGTGCAATAGCCTAACATGTGGTTTGCAAAAACTTTAAACAAATAAGGTGCTTTTATACCAGCAGTATTCCCTTTTACACAGTATCAATAAAATATTTCTTGTAAATCTCAACTTAAACATTAATGTAATCAAATCAAATATTTAAACAAAGCTATTTGCCACTGCCAGGGCATTACCTTTTATCTAGCTTGTTAAAAAGAGTCCAGTTTTCTTGTTTTTTTTTCGGAACAGGTATCTTGTATCAGGGAGCAGCAGAAACAGTCTATGTAGTCAAAGGGTCATGATCACTACTACAGATATAAGTCGACCAACGTTACTTCTCTGATAGCAGCTTAGGTTTGGTCATGGCATGCCATGGTTTCCCATGTAAGATTACATTAAACAGAGGTAAAGCCCAATTTATACTTCTGCGTCGAACTCACGCCGTAGCTGTGTAGCGCGCGTACCCTGACGTGCATCTCTCCAAAAATGTAACGTCAATTCTACGCGTACCGCAAGCGCTGTGATTGCTAGAACCGCTCCCCGGGTTTCACACTCTCCCTCTGCATGTGTAATTGCGCCTCAACGCGGACAACGACGCAGATATATAAATGGAAACCAACGCGTAGTCTATAGCGTAGAGGCTCCGGCGTAGGTCTGACGCAGAAGTGCCTAGAGTGAGGTGAAGTGGTCGAGCACAGGTGCAGCGACAAGCGGGTGCGTTCCTGTGAAACTGTTGCGGTCATGCTCGCCTCACGCACGCGCCCGCACGTTGCCGAAGTTGAATTGTCTAACTTTTTGTACACGACGCGCAGCACAAATCATTGGAAGAGAGACTGATCCTCGGCTCGCTGTTTGTGAGTTTCCAGAATCTAAATAGTTATCAGGACATCAACAGGAGGGAATTCACATGGCAGAGCATCCCCGCTAAAATAAACGCAGGCCTATCAGGTAAAGTTATGTATAATTTTAATTTAAGTTAAAAAGGCTACAGCTGCGTAGCGCACAGAAGCCGTTGCCATGGTTACTATCCATAGAGCGCCTGTCATTCACTCGCGGAGCGCTGTCTCCCTTTCTGTTCACCTGAGAGAACCTGCCAAAACCTCTCTCCACTGCTGGTTTGGGTGGGCTATTTGCTGGCTGACCAACATCCCACCCCTCCTGTGATCATGGTTTGACTCTAGGCCTATGTGTATTGAGCCAGTGAGCAACGGACTTTCAAAACAATAATAATAAAAAAAACTGCGTTAACGCGCGATAAAAAAATTGTCGCCATTAATTAATAAATGCGTTAACGCGATAATAACGCGTTAACTTGCCCAGCACTAATGTATATATATATATATAATTGCGTATATGTCACAGATGAGTCCACAATGAAGTAGAGGTTCCGTTAGCAGCGGTCGGTTACACTTTATTTTAAGGTGTCATTGTTACAATCATTGTCATTGTGTAGCATCAGTTCTGGCGTGTCACGTTAGTCAAGCTCACATAAGTGACTCTCAGCTGATCCACGTCTACCTATAGGAATACGACTCCTATCACTGTATACATATATAAGCTCCTTCAGTATTATCAGCTGATATCGCGTTTCTCAGGAGCTGATTATCATTCCTCCCTCCCCAGCTCCACTCGTTTCTCAGGAGCTGATTATCCTCCCCCCTCTCCAGCTCCACTCATTTCTCAGGAGCTGATTATCCTCCTCCCTCCCCAGCTCCACTCATTTCTCAGGAGCTAATTATCCTCCTCCCTCCCCAGCTCCACTCATTTCTCAGGAGCTGATTACCCTCCCCCCTCCCCAGCTCCACTCGTTTCTCAGGAGCTGATTACCCTCCTCCCTCCCCAGCTCCACTCGTTTCTCAGGAGCTGATTATCCTCCTCCCTCCCCAGCTCCACTCGTTTCTCAGGAGCGGATTACCCTCCTCCCTCCCCAGCTCCACTCATTTCTCAGGACCGGATTACCCTCCTACATCCCCAGCTCCACTCGTTTCTTAGGAGCTAATTATCCTCCTCCATCCCCAGCTCCACTCGTTTCTCAGGAGCGGATTACCCTCCTCCCTCCCCAGCTCCACTCGTTTCTCAGGACCGGATTACCCTCCTCCATCCCCAGCTCCACTCGTTTCTCAGGAGCTGATTATCCTCCTCCCTCCCCAGCTCCACTCGTTTCTCAGGACCGGATTACCCTCCTCCATCCCCAGCTCCACTCGTTTCTCAGGAGCTGATTTTCCTCCTCCCTCCCCAGCTCCACTCGTTTCTCAGGAGCTGATTATCCTCCTCCCTCCCCAGCTCCACTCGTTTCTCAGGAGCGGATTACCCTCCTCCCTCCCCAGCTCCTCTCGTTTCTCAGGACCGGATTACCCTCCTCCATCCCCAGCTCCACTCGTTTCTTAGGAGCCGATTACCCTCCTCCCTCCCCAGCTCCACTCGTTTCTTAGGAGCTAATTATCCTCCTCCCTCCCCAGCTCCACTCGTTTCTCAGGAGCTGAATATCCTCCTCCCTCCCCAGCTCCTCTCGTTTCTCAGGAGCGGATTACCCTCCTCCCTCCCCAGCTCCTCTCGTTTCTCAAGAGCGGATTACCCTCCTCCCTCCCCAGCTCCTCTCGTTTCTCAGGAGCTGATTATCCTCCTCCCTCCCCAGCTCCTCTCGTTTCTCAGGAGCTGATTATCCTCCTCTCTCCCCAGCTCCACTCGTTTCTCAGGAGCGGATTATCCTCCTCCCTCCCCAGCTCCACTTGTTTCTCAGGAGCTGATTAACCTCCTCCCTCCCCAGCTCCTCTCATTTCTTGGGAGCTAATTATCCTCCTCCATCCCCAGCTCCTCTCGTTTCTCAGGAGCTGATTACCCTCCTCCCTCCCCAGCTCCTCTCGTTTCTCGGTAGCTAATTATCCTCCTCCATCCCCAGCCCCTCTCGTTTCTCAGGAGCTGATTATCCTCCTCCCTCCCCAGCTCCTCTCGTTTCTCTGTAGCTAATTATCCTCCTCCCTCCCCAGCTCCTCTCGTTTCTCGGGAGCTAATTATCCTCCTCCATCCCCAGCTCTTCTCGTTTCTCAGGAGCCGATTACCCTCCTCCCTCCCCAGCTCCACTCGTTTCTTAGGAGCCGATTACCCTCCTCCATCCCCAGCTCCACTCGTTTCTTAGGAGCCGATTACCCTCCTCCCTCCCCAGCTCCTCTCGTTTCTCGGTAGCTAATTATCCTCCTCCATCCCCAGCTCCTCTCATTTCTCGGGAGCTAATTATGTCCTCCATCCCCAGCTCCTCTCGTTTCTCAGGAGCTGATTATCCTCCTCCCTCCCCAGCTCCACTCGTTTCTTAGGAGCCGATTACCCTCCTCCCTCCCCAGCTCCACTCGTTTCTTAGGAGCCGATTACCCTCCTCCCTCCCCAGCTCCACTCATTTCTCGGGAGCTAATTATCCTCCTCCATCCCCAGCTCCTCTCGTTTCTCAGGAGCTGAATATCCTCCTCCCTCCCCAGCTCCTCTCGTTTCTCAGGAGCGGATTACCCTCCTCCCTCCCCAGCTCCTCTCGTTTCTCAAGAGCGGATTACCCTCCTCCCTCCCCAGCTCCTCTCGTTTCTCAGGAGCTGATTATCCTCCTCCCTCCCCAGCTCCTCTCGTTTCTCGGGAGCTAATTATTCTCCTCCCTCCCCAGCTCCACTCATTTCTCAGGAGCCGATTACCCTCCTCCCTCCCCAGCTCCACTCGTTTCTCAGGAGCTGATTATCCTCCTCCCTCCCCAGCTCCTCTCGTTTCTCAGGAGCTGATTATCCTCCTCCCTCCCCAGCTCCTCTCGTTTCTCAGGAGCTGATTATCCTCCTCCCTCCCCAGCTCCTCTCATTTCTCAGGAGCTAATTATCCTCCTCCATCCCCAGCTCCTCTCGTTTCTCGGGAGCTAATTATTCTCCTCCCTCCCCAGCTCCACTCATTTCTCGGGAGCTAATTATCCTCCTCCATCCCCAGCTCCTCTCGTTTCTCGGGAGCTAATTATTCTCCTCCCTCCCCAGCTCCACTCATTTCTCGGGAGCTAATTATCCTCCTCCATCCCCAGCTCCTCTCGTTTCTCGGGAGCTAATTATTCTCCTCCCTCCCCAGCTCCTCTCATTTCTCGGGAGCTAATTATCCTCCTCCATCCCCAGCTCCTCTCGTTTCTCGGGAGCTAATTATTCCCCTCCCTCCCCAGCTCCACTCATTTCTCAGGAGCCGATTACCCTCCTCCCTCCCCAGCTCCACTCGTTTCTCAGGAGCTGATTATCCTCCTCCCTCCCCAGCTCCTCTCGTTTCTCAGGAGCTGATTATCCTCCTCCCTCCCCAGCTCCTCTCGTTTCTCAGGAGCCGATTACCCTCCTCCCTCCCCAGCTCCTCTTGTTTCTCAAGAGCTGATTATCCTCCTCCCTCCCCAGCTCCTCTCGTTTCTTAGGAGCTGATTATCCTCCTCCCTCCCCAGCTCCACTCGTTTCTTAGGAGCGGATTACCCTCCTCCATCCCCAGCTCCTCTCGTTTCTCAGGAGCTGATTATCCTCCTCCCTTAGGAGCAGTCTTCCTAACATTGTCCTGGAAGCAGACACACTCTGTCAGTTTAAAGCTAGACTAAAAACACATCTCTTTGGCCTAGCATACACATAATACATTATAGACTTCTATAATTCAATGTTAGGCTGCATAGATTAGGTCAGCTGGAACTGGGAACACTTCCCTTAAATCCAGATGTACTCGTCACATCATAAGAAGAATGGCATCTACGCTAACTTTAGTGTCTTTGTTT